AAGATTGAATCACAGAGTAGTTTTGTTTTGCATTTCTCTGATGGCTAAGGACACTGAACATTTCTTTAAATGCTTCTCAGCCATTTAAAGAAACATAAAGCCATTCTCTGTTGTTGCTTTAGCTCTATATTGCATTTTTAAATTGGATTATTTGATTGATGTTTAATTTCTTAAGTTCTTTGTATGTTTTGGATATTAGTCCTCTGTCTGATATAAGGTTGGTGGAGATACTGTTCCAATCTATAGGCTGCTATTTTGTTGTATTGGCAGGGTTTCTTGACTTAAAGAATCTTCTCAGTTTCATGAGATTTCAGGTCCACTACACATATGTGGCTGACGGGCAGCTTGATCTTCATATGGGGTACCTGGCGAATGGAGTGGGCCTGTTTCTAACATGGACTCTATTGCCTGCTTTTGGATCACTTCCCCCTGTCGGGGCTGCCTTTCCTGGCCTCAGGAGATGAGGATAATCTCAGTCCTAATGTGACTTGATGTGCTGGGGAGGGTTGAAATTGGGAGGAGGGAGGCTCCCCTTTTCTGGGGGGAAGGGGACAAGAAAAGGGGAAAGGAAGGGAAAGGGGAGACTGAAAGGAAAGAAGAGAGGGACACCTTTGGGATATAAAGTAAATAAATTGAAAAAAGTTAAATCAATCAATTAATCAATCATTTATCCTCTGGGGAAAGTCTAGGACCAGGTGAATCTTCAGGCAAACCAAGCCTGTCATGTCTGCAGGGGTCACCCTGCCATAGACTACCTACCACCTGACACCAGAAGCTCCTAACAAAAAGTCCTCCCCAGAAATAGGAAGAAGACAGCAATTTATAGCCCCAGGTCAAAGGGCTCTTGCAATAACCCTTTCCCAACCAGCAACCATAGATGCCTGACTCCAATATTAGTCTCCTCTCTCATTTACCTGTTGCTACGTTCTCAAATCCTTGGTCCCTTACTCACTCCCAGGCATTGGGTCCCTTACTCACTCCCAGAAAGTGACCTGGATATTTATTGTATGCTGTTGAAGCATTTGAGTCCATTAGGTGTTCTGTGACAGGCTGCTCTATGATTGGGACCAGGGTTAAAATCACATTTCCCCCATCATATTCTGAGCATAGTGACTGGAGTCTGCCATATTTTAGGATCACCTGGCAGAACACAAAGGCAGTAGAGATGGAGATGTCTGCAGGTCACTGTGGAATCCTTCTCTTTTGAGGGTGTGGCCATTTGTAGGTTGTCCATGCTCTAGTGGGTGACACCACACCAATCTACATTCTGGCTGTAGTGAGTGCCACATTTCCATGCCAGGCATTGGTGGTACATGCCTTTAATCCCAGCACTTGGGAGGCACAGGCAGGTGGATCTCTGTGAGTTCAAGGCCAGCTTGGTCTACAAGAGGGAGTTTCAGGGTAGCCCAAGCTACACAGAGAAACACTGTCTCAAAAAACCAAACCAAACCAACCAAACATACAAAAACAAAAACAAAAAAGCCCTCACATGAATTGAAAAAGTGGTAATATAGTAGCAATATTACAAAACCGAAACATAGGTGAGTAATTAGAGCAGAGAGAATTTTAGTAGGGCCTATCTAAATATGTTACATGCATGTATGAAATTCTCAAACAGTAAACAAGCAAAAATAACTTTAAAAGGGAGAGAATTTAGGAGGTGGGATGCTGCAAGAGTATAGGAGGAGATGGAGGGGCGAAGTAGGTGATGGATCTGATCATATTTCATTGTATATGTGCATGACATTCTTAAGGATAAAGAAAAACGTTTAAGAAAAAAAGAAAGATTGGTTTAGAGGAGAAAGAGACAAGAGCGAACCTCTCACCCCAGCACTGTGAAGCTATGTGTGGCCATCAGCAGTGAGGGTGCTTCCGCCCTGTCTTTACCAGTGATTCCCCACCTCATTGCTGTTCCATACAATAGTGGGTCCACCCTGGGTGCCCTGGGGTGCCCTGGATTTTTCCTCCTGGGTTTAAAAAAAAAAAAAAAAGATGCTTTGGCTCTTTAGATCTCCTGCCTACTTTTAAGTTGGGTTGTTTTCTTACTGCTCCTCTGTTTATTTTGGATACAAAATCTCTCAGATATATATTTGACAAACATTTCATGCAGAGTATGGATTGTCTCTGAAGTAAGATGCCCTCCGGGGAACAAGAGTTTCCAATTTTTATAACATTCAGACTGCCCATTTTTAAAAATATCATGGAACTTGATTTTTCTGAGGTTGAATATGGAAATATATTGCCAAGATCAGGACAAATTCAGACATTTTGCCATTTTGTACTTAGGTTTGTAATCCATTCTGAGATAAATTGTTTGTGTGTGTGAGCGTGTATGCACAGGCACTCGTAAGATGTTGTAGTTTGGTTTCTCTTGCTGTGATGAACACCATGACTAGAAGTAACTTGGAGGAAGAGGGTCTGAATTTTGTCATACATGTTAAGATTGTTGAAGGATATAGGGGCAGGAAAGTGAAGCAGAGATCCTGGAAGACCACCACTTACTCCCTTACTTACCTAGCTTTCTTATATCGCTAAGTTCCATCTGTCTAGGGACAGTACTACCCACAGAGGACTGGGACTCTTACTTTAATTATCATTCAGGAAAATTTCTTTTAGACTTGGCCACAGGCCAATCTGTTCTAGACAATTCTTCATTTGAGAGTCCCTCTTCCCAGGTCCCTATAGCTGTATGTCAAGTTGACAGGTAGTTATGACAGATGGAATGTGTTCAGGCTCACATTTTCTTCTCCTTATTCTTCTTCTCCAAATGGACACCTTGTTGGAAAAAGCTGTCCTTTCCCCCACTGAACTGTCTTGACACTATTTGTGTCTGTTTATGTGTGCTCTGTTGTGAACCATTAGTCTAAGTCTCTATACTGGATCACTGTGGTTTATTAAGGCTTGGGTCTGGGTGAGGGCCAACTCTCTTCTTATCTTGAAGCATTGTTTTTGGCTGTTCTACATCTTTTCCCTTCCTAAAGAAAGTTCAGAACTAGTTTGACACTATGTACAAACTAGGTTTCTGGGATTTGACCTGGGATTACATTGCACTCATAGATCAATTGGGAAGAGCTGACATCTTACAAATGTTAAGTGCTCTGATTCATGAACACAGCGTTCTTCTTGTACTAGTAACTTTTTGTCCCTGTGATAAAATTCCATGACCAAAACCACTTATCAAAAGGAGAGTTTACCTTGGTTTCAGGTTCCAGAGCGGTGAAGAAGGCAAGGCAGCAAGCACTGGAGCAGGCAGCTGCCTGATCACGTTTCAGCATGACAGGGGGCCTAGAGAGCCAATGAGATGGTGTAAGGTCACAAACTCTCAAAGCCCACCTTTGGCAGTGTACTTCCTCCAGCAATGCCCCATCTACTAAAGCTTCCACCTAGCCAAACTAGGCCTCAAACTAGGGACCAAGTGTTCAAATGCATGAGCCTACGGGGGAGGTTTCCCCTGAAGCCACGGTACCATTTACTTAGAACTACTTCAGTGTCTTTCGTCAGATCCCATACATAATGTATTAGAACAATATATTGTTTATATTTTGAGTGCTAAGGTTTTCCAAATATCAAATTCTATTTGTTCATTATGGGTACATTGGACACTAACTAACAGGCTTATTAACTTTGTGTCACGCAAGCTTGATGAATTTGTTCATTTATTCCAGGAACAGCTGATTTCTTTGGCCTTCAGTTTTTTTGGTGCTTTCTGTTTAAGCAACCTTGCCATCTGTAAATAAATCATTTTTTCCCTCTTCCCTCTCAATGTCTGTAATTTTTATTGCTCTTTTCTTGCCTACACACACTAGCTGGGTCTTCTCGAATCAAGTTGAGGAGAAAGAGTACCCTGAGTGATGTTGGGTGTTAAAGGGAGACATCCAGTTTTTCCCAGTTAGAGCTGACGTAAATGGTAGACATTTTACTAATGTTCCTTATCAAGGGGAGCATGCAGCCTCTTGCGGGGTATTGTCAAATGCTTTTGATGTGGTGATGGGTCTGAGTTTTCATCTTTAGACTCCCTGTGTGGTTGACTACACCGACTGATTTTCAGATATTGAATGAGCTTCACACACTTATTCCGGGCATAGAATTCTCTCTGTATTGTTGGAAATGATTAGCTAGTATTTCATTAAGCCCTTTATTTGTTTCTAGACATAGACAAGGTTTTGCTATGTAGTCCTCGCTGTCCCCGAATTTCATATAGATCAGGCTTGAATTCACAGAGATCTGCCTGTCTATGCCTCTCAAGTGCTGGTATTAAAGGCATGTGCCACCATGCCTGACCCTTGTTAAAGACTTTTGTATCCAATTAATGGAGTGAGACTAGACATGTAAACTGAAATAAACCCTTTTCTTCCCAAATTGTTTTGGTCATGGTGTCTTAATCAAAGCAATAGAAAGCAAACTAAAACAATGTCTTTTTAGTCAATGCACTCCAGTTATTTGTGAATACTATAATACAAAAAATGAATCATTTGAGAGAGGAGAGGTGAAAACATGAGGACCCTGCCTGTTCGGTCCTTACCACTGGCAATTACTCATTGGGCACTCAAAGCCCCACTTCTAGCTTTCATATTGAATGGGATAATTACCGGTAGTGTTGGCACATTGTGCTTAGCACATGGTACCTTGGATCCAGGCCTGTGGCTAGTACTGCTTTTATTAAGTATTGTCAGTCACCTGTATCCACCAATGGACGGGACTGCCTCCCCAGGGCTCAGTGGGTTCCTGGTTGCTAGGAATCCTAGTATTAGCAGAGTGCTGGCTGACAGATGTGTTCCACAGTTGTATCAGGCCCTCCCAATGAGTCCTTTGCTAAAAGCCCCCAGATTGTTTTCTGAATTTGAAAATGTGTCATTTACATCCTGGACTCTTCATCAGAGCAGAGCACAGGGGCCCATGGGCATTCTGGACTTTTCCACTGGGAATCCAGGCTTTGTCTGGTTGATTTCATGTGGTATAACACAGGTTAGGTTCTCATTTACCTTATCTGATTTTGAAAGGCTCTGCCCTGACCAATGGAGGCCTGAACCTGCACAGCCCTGTGAAGAGGAAGCTGGAGACAGAGAAGGACTACGTCTTTGACAAGAGGCTCAGGTACAGCGTCCGCCAGAATGAAAGCAATTGTCGATTTCGTGACATCGTGGTGCGGAAGGAAGAGGGCTTCACCCACATTCTTCTGTCCAGCCAGACTTCGGATAACAATGCCCTGACACCTGAGGTAAGGAGCTTTGAGGGAGTACAGTTGACTTCAGACCTTCTTCCCCTGGCCTTGTCTGGTCCTGCACTTGCTTGTCCATCATATCGATGGAAGCCGGGGGAGTTGGCAAGACATCCAGGTGTGGGCACACTCTAGAGCAGTGGTTCTCAGCCTTCCTAATGCAATGACCCTTTAATACAGCCCCTCATGTTGTGGTGACCCCAACCATAAAGTTATTTTCATTGATACTTCATAACTGTAATTTTGCTACTGTTATAAACCGTAGTGTAAATACCTGTGTTTCCCTGCAGTTTTAGGGGACCCCTGTGAAAGGCTTGTTTGACCCCCAAAGGGGTCACAACCCTCAGGTTGAGAACCCCAGTTCATCAATGATAGGATGGGCTGGTATCCCTGGTGCATCTGGCACCCTCAGGAATGCCTGTGAACTGGTAAGGGGTGTCATGTCCTTCAATTTGTGACCACACATCTTTATATGATTTACATAAACAATGGCTCTTCTGTGGAATTGTGGGTGGGACAGCTGGAATGATGGACAGATTCTGAGGGAAGAGCTGACCAGTCCCTTTGGGGTTTATGAGGTATGTGGTTGCTATTGCCCCTCCTCTAAGTGTGGGATTGGGAGGGGAGGGGCTCCTCACCTACTTTGGCAGAAGCAGCCAGGACCTCAGTGTAGAATCTGGAATGTGGGCTCCGGGACAGGAGCATGTACACACTCACACCTGGAACCCACATTATTTTAAGCTCATTTAGACACATCCGCAGAAGACCCTGCATCTTTTTTTCTACTTCACTACCTTCTAAAAGCTCTTTTAAAAAGGCACATCATTTTTCTTCCATAAATTGACACAGGGTGATGCCTCTCAGTTCATTCTGTCTCTGTGGAACAGCTTTGTTTGGTAGTGGGTGCCCGCTCGCCCCAGAAGCCACACTGTGCTCCACTGATCGGAGGTACCCGGGGGCCCTAGGTACCGAGCTGTGGGCTTGGTTTATGATGGCTGCATTCCTGATCTGCATCAGTTGGTTACAAGAATGAGTTAGGGATGTGGTGATTTTAGTGGATCAATGACTTGGGGGAGCTGGTACCTTGGGTTCAGTAGTCCCAAGAGGTAGGGTTGGAGGAGGAATGTAGATTTGGGAGTCTAGCAAGCTGGATTGTATTCTGCCCCCACTTCTGCTGCCGTCTCTGTTACCAGGGGAAATTACTCTGCCTGTGCATAACACCTGTTTACAGCAATGGCACTTCATCTTCCTTGTGAGAGGAGAGACAGCGCATGCAGGTACGCAGATACTCAGGAGCAGGAGATCCGGTACCCAAGGCTGGCCTATGTGGGCTCTCACCGTTAAGATGAAGCCTAGGATATACTATGCATGTCTCTCTGCTCCTGGAATACCTCACTCAGGATGATCCTTTCTAGTTCCATGCACTTCCTGCCAATTTCACTTATACATGGATATTAGCCATATTATAATAGGATAAACAGGGAGTAGGGGAGGGTTAGGGAGAGAGAGTGGACCTGGGAGGAGATGAGGGAGGTAGCTACAAAGTGAATAAAATAATAGTAATAATAATAATAATAATAATGATGATGATGATGATGATGATGATGATGATAATGATGATGAAGCTGAGGCTGCTCAGTGTCACCAGCAGGCCCACCTTGCTTGCTAGTGAACAGAATGGAAGGGACCCTTCCCTGGTGACAGTTGAGTGTTTTCTCCTAGCTGTTCATGTGTCATTGGGGGATTGACTATATAAGTAAAAAATCCATTCGTTATTAGGTACATTGACTCAGTTCTGAGAACAGAAGATATTTTGTGACATTTTTCTTTTCATAAGTATAGCACAGGATTGGGAACAGTCCCCTCTGAGCTGGCAAACAAGGGTCCACAATCCAAGGCTTGTTCACTTTCCTTTTAGGAGAAGGTCCAAGTAGCCTTCTTGGACTAGTATCAGTAGTCGGCTTCTGATTCTTCCAGTGCTCATGGCCTCAGCCAGCATCATCACCAGCATTCACCATGTTTGAGGTTCCCTTTCTGTTGCTGTGACAAGCTACTCAAGCCAAAAGTAATTTAGTGTGAGAAGGAGGGTTATTTCATGTTATACTTCAGGTCAGTCATTGAAAGACATCACAGCTGGAACTCCAGACAGGAGCCTGAAAGCAGAAACCATGGAAGAATGCTTCTTTTCTAGCTTGCTCTCTGGCTCGTGTTCAGCCAGCTTTCTTATACAAATCAGGAGCACTTACCGTGGGAATGGTGCCACCCACGGTGGACTGTGCATACCTACACCACAGTTATTCCCTATCAGACATGCCCACAGCTAATTTAGACAATTCTTCAATTGAGGCTTCTCCATGTTTAGCTGTCAAGTTGACAGCTAAAGCTAATGGGGATACAAAGAATAGGCCAGCCATGTAAATGTATGTACCACACCTATTTTTTGTCATATGTGGCCCTTCAGGTTTTCCTCAAAACCTGTCCCATTCATTCTTTCTGCTGTGCACCTGTCTCTCTCACATCAAATGCCATCTAGATTTACCTATAAGTTCTTTCTGAATATACTTTTCTTCTGATTAAACTCCATGCCTTTGTAGTTATATTTTTGAGTCTTTTTAAATTAAATTTGTATTTTTATATTAATTATAGTTTATTCACTTTGTATCCCATCTGTAGCCCCCTCCCTCATCTCTTCCCATTCCTCTCTCCAAGTCCACTGATAGGGGAGGTCCTCCTCCCCTTCCATCTGACCCTAACTTATCAGGTCTCATCAGGATTGGCTGCATTGTCCTCCTCTATTGCCTGGCAAGGCTGCTCCCCACTCGGGGTATGGTCAAAGAGCCTGCCATTGAGTTCATGTCAGAGATAGTCCCTGTTCCCCTTACTAGGGAACCCACTTGGATACTGAGCTGCCATGGGCTACATCAGAGCAGGGGTTCTAGGTTATATCCATGAATGGTCCTTGGTTGGAGTATCACTCTCAGAAAAGACCCTGTGCCCAGGTATTTTGGTACTGTTGCTCTCTTTGGAGAGCTCCTGTCTTCTCCAGGTCCCATAGTCTCTCCCTTCTTTCATAGGATTCCCTGCACTCTGCCCAAAGTTTGGTTAAGAGTCTCAGCATCTGCTTTGATACACTGCTGGGTAGAGTCTTTCAGAGTCCTTCTGTGGTGGGCTCCTGTCCTGTTTCCTGTTTTCTCCTCCCTCCAATGTCCATCCTATTTGTATTTCTGAGTGAGGATTGATCATCTTACCCAGGGACCTCCTTCTTGCTTAGCTTCTTTAGATGTACAGATTTTAGTATGTTTATCTTATCTTATAGATCTAGTAGCCACTTATAAGTGAGTATCTACTGTGTGTGTCTTTCTGCTTCTGGGATACCTCACTCAGGATGATCTTTTCTAGATCCCACCATTTGCCTGCAAATTTCATTATTTTCTTGTTTTTAATTGCTGAGTAGTATTCCATTGTGTAAATGTACCACAATTTCTGTATCCATTCCTCAGTTGAGGTACATATGGGTTGTTTCCAGATTCTAGCTATTACGAATAAAGCTGCTAGGAACATGATTGAACAAATGTTCTTGTTGTATACTTGAGCATATTTTGAATATATGCCTAGCAGTAGTATAGCTGGATCTTGAAGAAGCGCTATTTCTAATTGTCTGAGGAAGCACCAGATTGATTTCCAAAGTGGTTATACAAGTTTACATTCCCACCAGCAATGGAGGAGGGTTCCCCTTTCTCCACATCCTCTCCAGCATGTATTGTTACTTGAGGTTTTGATGTTATCCATTCTGATGGGTGTAAGGTGAAATTTTAGGGTTGTTTGGATGTGCATCTCCCTAATGCATTTCTTTAAGTGTTTTTCTGCCATTCTATATTCTTCCACAGAGAAGTCTCTGGTTAGCTCTGTTCCCCATTTTTTAATTGGATTAATTGATTTGTTGCTGTTTAACTTCTTGAGTTCTTTATATATTCTGGATATTAGCCCTCTGTCAGATATAGGGTTGGTGAATAACCTTTCCCAGTGTGTAGGCTGTTGTTTTGTTCTGACAATAGTGTCCTTTGCTTTATAGAAGCTTTTCAGTTTCATGAGGTCCCATTTATTGATTGTTGATCTTAGAGCCTGTGCTGTTTGAGTTCTGTTCAGAAAGTTGTCTTCTGTGTGAATGACTTCAAGGCTCTTCCCCACTTTTTCTTCTAACTGACTTATTGTGTCTGGTTTTATGTTGAGGTCCATTTGGACTTTAGTTTTGTGTAGGGTGAAAAATATGGGTCTATTTGCATTTTTCTGCATGTAGACTTCCAGTTAGACCAGCACCATTTGTTGAAGATGTTTTCTTTTTTTCCATTGTATGGTTTTGGCTTCTTTGTCAAAAATCAGGTGTCCATAATTGTGTGGGTTTATTTCAGGGTCTTCTAGCTGGTCCCATTGATCCACCTTTCTGTTTCTATGCCAATATCATGCAGTTTTTATTACTATTACTCTATAGTACAGCTTGAAATCAGGGATGGAGATACCTTCAGACAATCTATTGTTATACAGGATCATTTTGGCAATTCTGTGTTTTTGTTTTTCTATATGAAGTTGAGAATTTTTCTTTCAGGGTCTGTAAGACTTGTGTTGGTATTTCAGTGGGAATTGCATTGAATCTGTAGATTGCTTTTGGCAGGATGGCCATTTTCACTATGTTAATACTACCTATCCATGAGAATGGGAGATCTTTCCATCTTCTGATATATTCTTCATTTCTTTCTTCAACGACTTGAAGTTTTTATTTTGAACAGGTCTTTGACTTGCTTGGTTAGAGAGTCTTAAGGATGACATGCCTATCTTGTACTGAAAATACTCAATTTTTACCGTGGCTTTTGAATGATCAGTTAGATTGGTGAAGAATTTTTCCTATAGATATTTTTCTCAGCACATTGAACACTATATTCTCTTCTCTTGCTCTTGTGCTTGCTAGTTTTCTTTAGAACTATCCTCTGGTCTAAGATTTACCTTTGAGGAAAACATTCTCTTGCCTCCAGATATTTGAAGTTTTATCTTTGCTTTCTATTGTCTTTTTTGTGGTGTTCAGAATTCAGACTTGTATTAAATAGGCTTAAACCCTTTCCCCCAGGATGCTCCTGACCTAACTCCAGAACCCACAGCAAGGTTAAGTCACATGCCTGGGCATTAAGGTTTCTGAAGGCCTGAAGCTTGCTTCTTGGATGACTTTGAGCTTGTTTTGGAAGGAACAGCCTCCATGGTCTTGGTGTCACCACATTGTCCTTAGAGAGGAAGAAGACACAGAATCAGTGTCAGAGAAAGGTGCAGTGAACAATGAATAGACTTGGTGACCATTGATGGCCTGGACAGTGGGGCCGGGAGCTAAGGAAATGTGTCAGAATGCAATCCACCCATGCCCATTCTCAGCTCATCTCAGACACAGCTCCACCTGTTCTATGTGACCGCTGAAGGCCACTCCTTCAGCACCTCTTTAACCTTCATCACTTACACTTATTGTGACCCTCTTACTTGTGTTTTCTGTTTCTCTGATGTAGACCCGGAAACCGTTTCAGATATTCCAGTTTGCTTATTCTCCCTCCAGCTCCTTTTAGTCTGGTGTTAATCTACACGGAGATTCATGACTCTGCTGTTCATGGGATAAGTTTTCTTTCCTTAAATCCTTTTATTTCATTCTCTCTTAGTCATCATTGTTTACCTGCCCCCTTTCCTCTAATTGGCTTTTGAAACATATTTTAAAATGTTGTAGTTTCTTAGGCCAAACTTAAGAGTTATTTTATTCCTCCCATTTGTATGTCAGTTCATATTTTTCAAATGCTTGGTCATTTTGTGTGTGTGTGTGTGTGTGTGTGTGTGTGTGTGTGTGTGTGTGTGTGAACCCATCTACAATGGGGATTATTTTCCTGTAAAATTCCCATGTGGCTTAGGTTTCAGTTTCTCTCAAAAGCATTTCTGTGTTCTTTTTATGAAATGCCTCGGGGATACCACTAGCTCGTATCCCATTTCCATATCAGTCAGCTCATTAATTTTTAAAAGATTTTACTTTTTATTTTCACACACACAGATAAACATCATCGGGGTATGGTTTTGTGCACTTGAGTGCAGTATCTCAGAGGCACATGCATCTGGAGCTGGGGCCTTAAGCAGTTGTGGGCCTCCTGACATGCCAGCCTGGAACCCAGCTTGGGTCCTTTGCAAGAGCAGTATGTGCTCTTAACTATTGTATGGATGGCTATTTCTACAGCCCTTTGTTATTATTATTTTTTTAATCTGAAGATTCCTCTCCCATGTGGTATTATAATTTAGAACTTTGTGTTGGGGTTTTAAGTTCACCTACAGAAGTAGTTCAAGCAGCTTGTTCTGACTATGATTTGGAGGACACGGTAGTGAAGAAATTGAAGGAAGGGCTACAGCAGTTAGAATGAGATTCCTGTACAAGTTTCCTGTCCAGGAAGCCTGCACTTTGCATCCTAGCCACACGGCTGTGGGTCATCCTGAATGCCCAGGCTCTCAGGAGCAATTGTGTGGAATGCATGGACAGTACTCAAGGCAGGGCTGTGTGATTGGCACGAGTCAGAGTGTGGAGGGCCAGGCGTGTGGGTTCATCCAGTGCCAGGTCCTGTGTGCTGCGTCTGCTTCTAAGTGTGTGTGGCCTGACTCAGCTGCAGCCTCTGCTTCTGGGATGGTTGCAGTAGCCTGGGAGAGAGAGGTTCTTCCTTCTCCTGTACAGTGAGCAGCTCCCTCGCTGCTTCCCCACAGCCAAACAGGAGGGAGGTTTAGTTATCAGAGCTGCTTCGAGAGGCAGCCTTCCCTTCAGCAGAGGCCTCTAGGTGTGAGAACACAGCAGGTTTTGTTTGTCTTTTGTTTGTTTGTTTGTTTGAGGTTAAAGTCAAAAGCTGTGAGAATTACTGAATTTCGATGGGCCACTTTTGGATGTCTATACCATAGAGGCACTGTGGTAATCGCAAGAATGCAGCAGGGGCTAGGAAGATAGCATTCTGATCATTGCTCAAACCGCAGTGTAGCTGGGGCAAACAAGTAAGATGCCCCCTGTGAAGGGGAGAACAAAACATTCTTAGTCCAGGATTCACTGTCCCTCAGAGGACTCTGAGCTTCCAGGTGATCTGTCATTTACCTCTTACCTGGAAAGAACTCTAGACCACAGGTCCCCAACCTTTTGGATAATACATAGTAGACTGTAAGTTGGTCATGTTTTGATGCTAAAGGTTCCCTATCATAGGCCACCTATAACCCCTGAGCAAGGGAAATAAAACAAGAGAAAATTTTAACTGAGCCATCTAGAGGTATATGAAGCTTACCAAAGCTGTACACGGGACTGTTTTCCCCACACTTTGTTAAGGAGTTCAACCAGCAAATACCTAAGGTGGGTCTGCAGAGGTTCATAGAGACTGACCAAGTCCACAGCAGGCTCACAGGTCTGGACCAGTGACCCCAGGATCTCCAAGTTGATCCTTCTGCTTACATCAAGGGTAGTGCTGGAAGGCGTTGGATCAGTAAAGTTTCTTTCCTAGGACTGGGCGTGTGCTTTCATTCTGGGGAGATTCTCAGACATTCAAAGCTCTGCAAACTCACCTTTGCCTGCAGATCATGAAGGAAGTCCGGCGAGCGCTGTGCAATGCGGCCACAGACGACAGCAAGCTGCTGCTGCTCAGCGCAGTGGGCAGTGTGTTCTGCAGCGGCCTGGACTATTCCTACCTGATCGGCCGGCTGTCCAGCGACCGGAGAAAGGAGAGCACGCGGATCGCAGAGGCCATCAGGTGAGTCTGGCTTCTCTTTGAATGAACACTTTGGGAACCTGCCAACGATGACCAAATTTATCAAATGAACGTACAGGCTGTTCAGGTAAACTTATCTCAAACAATGTAGGATTTTATTTTTAGTGTGAATATAGCCTTGGCAACATTTGAATCACCAGGACATACTTGTATTTTAAAATTACTGTTGACATATCTGAAATGTGACTTTTTTCGATGCCAGGGACTAAACCCAGGGCCTTGTACATGCAAGACACATGTTCTGCCACTCAGCTTCATTTCCACCTCTGAACTGTGGACCTGAGCTGGTCAGCCTGCCTTTTGTCTATGCTCCCAATGGCATGCTTTGCTCTCTAGGCTGCATTCCATACCCAACCCTCTTTTTTTGATTAAAAAAAAATGACACCTACTTTCTTTCATTAAGGCCTGCATTGGCAGTGCCCATGGTGCATACTGCTTCTGGCTTCTGCCTGGCGGTGGGGTCTTTGGTTATGTAGACATTTCTGTGTAGAAATGTCTACAATTATTAGGGGGAGGGTGGAGATACTTTGGGCATCTGTGCATTGGTAGACATAGTGAATGGAGATGGCCCCTTTCAAAGTCTTTGGGTCAAATGTGGGGGTCTTAATGGTGACACACAGCTCAACTATTAATACCCTCTTTCAGGACACAGGATAACTGTCTTCCTGTTTATTTGTTGTCTATTTTATGTATGTGTGTACTCCCAATGAATGTGTAGGTACATGTATATAAGTGAGGGTACATTTGTGTACATGCAGAAGCCAGAGGTCAGCCTCAGATGTTAGCCCTTAGGTGCTGTCCACCTTGTCGTTTAAGACAGGGTCTCTCACTGGGCTGTCCATCAGGCTAAGCTAAGCTGGGTGGTTAGGGAGCCCCTGGCCACCTGTCAGCACCTTCCCAGCTCTGAGATCACAAGCTTTCTTTTCTTTTTTAGCACGTGGGTTGTGAGGATCAAACCCAGATCGCCATGCTTGCAAAGCTGGCACTTTTTACTACTGAGCTGTTCCCCTGGCCCCTCCCAGTTGTTTATAACAGAAGGAAATGAATTAATGAATTCTCCACCCAGGTCATTTAGCTGCCTGACAGCTGTCACTCAGAGAGGAGACACAGCTGAGTCATAACCCTTAGTGAGACCAGGAATGTTTAAGCTGTGTTGGGGTCTCAGAACCTCAGCCTGCACAGTGGAGATTCTTCGGGCCTCCAGTCTCACTGTCCTGTGGTGGGTCACAGCAGAGGCTTATCCCCCTGTCACCACTAGGGTCGTGGGAGGATGCAGGGGGTGACATGAGGCTGCTCCGTTGTGTGCTCCAGGTCTGACCTTGAGTGAAGTGTTGCTCAAGGGATGCTGTGTCCTTCCTCAGGCAGAATCCTCCCCAGGAAGGAACTAAGAAGCTTGGACCCGATCCTGAGAAGGAATCGAGGTGTTGATGTCATTTCTAGGGTGCAGCTAGCTCCTGGCTGTTCACCTGCAGTTTCTGCTTTGCTTGACCTCAGCTGTGTCCTCTTAATGCTGACCTTGCATGAGTTAAAGGATCAGTGAAGCCACTAGAGTGATTCCCTCTTTATTGATGGGGCTGCCGGAGCACACCCGTGGACCAAAGAGCCCCTCTGTGACCTTAGAAAACCTAGCTCACATCTTGTTTACTAACCTCAGTGGAGGTGCTTTTGGTACTTCCAGCTCTGGAAAACATTTAAGATGTGCTGCAAGCTTCTCCTTCACACAGGCAGAGCACTTGGACCTCTTGTCCCCAAAAGCTACAGCATTTCCTGACCTATTCAACCTATGAAGCTGAATTAACCTGGGAAAAGAATCTTACTATAATGGAGTCCAGAGTCCTGAGATCCTAAGTTAGGATAGGGTCCAAATGTCATGACAACTGCCCTGGAGATTGAGGATGGTGATGGCATGGGGCTGGGCATGAAAACGGGAAAAGTGGATATGATGTAGAGACAGAGACCAGAGTGAGCCAGCTGCCAGCCATAGAGTTCCCAAGAAGGCTGGCACCATCAACAGGTAAAGAGAGGACTGGGGAGTCCCTGCCTTGGTGGCTCAGAGGGGTCCCGCATCTCGACTTTGAACTTCTTGTCTCCAGGAAACTACAGGGTACATTTCTGTTGTTTTGAAGCATGGTTTGTGGTCCCTGTCCTTGAAGCCTTAACTTCTGAAGGAAGACATTAATACTCAGAATGTTCCAGCTTTCTGGGCTCTCTTCTCAGGCCAGGTCCATTCCATCCTTCATCCTTAGGGTCATTTCTTCTGACAGATGATTAGTAATGTCTGCCAGGTAGGGATTAAACAGATTGTTTCTGACAGCTTCTAGTAAGGCATTGCTTTGGGTCAGTCTTAGGCTGAGTGGAGTAGAGTCAGTGTCAAGTCACTAGAATAAAGGACTTGAAGCTGAGTCACCATGGGAGGGAACCTGAGCAGGGAACCCCTAACCCATAGTCCATTCTTACCGCTCTTCACGACTGGCCTCTCAGATGAAAGGAGCATCTCTCTGACCTGGCCCTGCATGGGTCAGATCTACTAAAACTGAGGGTCAAGAACTTTTCTGCCCATTGTCCTGACATGTTGGGGTCGTAAGAGTAATGGCCCACACTCTCTAGAGTTGTGAAGACCAAGTCAGAAATGAGATTTTAGGGTCAGATGGGGATGAAGCTATAAGCCACGAAGGTACTGGAGCAGAAGAGTGGCTACAATCTGGCTTCTTTCTTTCCATGCTGAGTAAACTGAGGAACCCCAAAGTGGGGTTGAGGGGATGAGAGAAGATGCTGAAAGGCATCCGGGCCCCCTCTGGAGACATGTAGTCTGTGGATCTCTGACACAGACCATGTCAGTGGGCTGGGGTGCCCAAGCAGAACAGGGGGCTTCTTCAAGATGCCAGGGAGGGAGTAGAACTTGCTGATTCATAGGCTGGAAGGGGCGGGCCTAGGCGTGAGAAAGTAGCCTTTGCTTCCCTGATTCTCAAACATGACAGCAGGGAGAGACCGGAGAGGAGGAGGATCGCTGAGAGCTCAGATGCCCCCGGACGTCCTGAGAACTCTTCTGTAGTGGAGTAGCATTTTTGGAGTAGCACAACTCACATGTGCTGTATATACCAATAGTGTATGCAGCATGGTATCCAGGAAGGGCCACACCTACCTCTGCAGTTGCTAGTGGTGTAGCCTTAGACACATAGATCCTCTCACCAAGACTGGAGATTCATCTACTGGGAGGGAGTCATCAGCATTCTAGTTCTAGCCTCAGTCGGGGGTTGCTAGGGTGGAAAGCATTCATGTACAACCCCGTGAGGTCTACTTGTGGGCCACATTAAATGCTTGGAGTAGATGAAAAAAAATGCTACCTTTATGGGCTGGAGAGGTAGCTCAGTTGGCAAAGTGCTTGCCATGCACTCAGAACACATGTGAAAAAAGGGGATGAGAAGATGTATGTGTTCTTGGTGTGGGGGCGGGGCAGAGACAGATAGATCCCTAGAACTTTCTAGCCAGCCATCCTACCCTACTTGGTGTACTTGGTGAATTCCAGGTCAGTGTGAGACCCTGTTTCAAAAAACAAGGTTAACAGCATCCTAAGGACTAACACCCAAGGTTGGCTTCTGGCTTACACACACACACACACACACCACAATCACAAGTTATTGCCTTTATATTGTTCCTGCCAGCCGCAAGTTCTTAAGCTGAGTCTGGCTGTGGAACAGAGTTCTGGAGATCTCTCTGAGGCCTTAGATGACGGTTGCCATGTGTATATGGTGCTCACAGACCCTAAAGTGCCTGACATAGCTCTGGCTGTCCTGACTCTGGCTAAAGGGAATGGCAGTTCCTCCAGGTGAAACAGACACATCCCCAGTGGCAGCATTTTGCTTGAGTTTCCTCTGGGCTCGAAGGATGGACCACAGACCACCATGAAACAGATGAGAGCATAGGCCTGATATTAGCAGTCTGACCCATTATTCCTCATATGCTGGGCACGTGCTACTCTTGTTTAATTATCATTTAGCTCTCTGGGTACCCAGCATTGGCCTTCCCATTTCATAGAGGGAGAAAAATGAGGTTCTGCAGACCAGACAACTTGTCTGACTGTTAGTGAGGGACAGAATTGAGATTTGACTTTGAAACTATCAGGCTCTTTTGATGTTTCATGCCACGTCAGGTATCTTATTTGCCTGGCCAGGCTACAAACACTGGGCTTGGGCTGAGCAGAGGGATCTGCAGAAGACCAGAGTCAGACTCATGGTCATGAGCACAATATATAGAAAGCAGTCCTCTGAGCCCAGACCTGCTACTGCAGTGCGATCAGATATCTGAGCCTTCGGGTCTGTAATGCAATATCCTGTTTGCTGTTTGGCTTCTGCATCCATGGGGCCCCTGCGATAGAGATCTTATGCCTAAGGTAAGAGAAAAAAGGATGGGAGGGTCTCATATATCACATTTACAGCAGAGAAATGAAACTGCAGCTGCTGGTGGAAGGCCACGGCTGTGTATGCCTCAAACCATCGCCTTCTTCAGGGTCCCTCCTACCCTTGCACAGAGCAAAAAGTCTCTGGGTCCTGAAATGGAAGCCTCTGGAAGGGGTGAGGATTATAGTAGGTTCCTGAATGGTTTTCATGTGAGGTATGAGAAGATCAGCAATGCCTTCCTAAGACCCATGTCCTGGTTTAATAGTCACAGACTTTTTCTGTAGCTGAGAGAATCTAACAGATGTGGGCAGTGTATCAGGAGGGCTTTGCCAATGCCAATGCCCTAGAGGAAGCTGAGGCTTGAGGAGTCTGAAAGTGTCTCAGATCCTTGATTTTAGAATTGTACCAAGTTTTTAGAAATGGCATGTCTGATAAAAATTACCCAACTCTTGGCTTTCTTGGACTATCCATGAAAGTTCCATACCTTTAATAGACGGAAATTGCGTTAGTGAAAATAAGCCAGTGTTCTAACCTAAACCCCAACCCTGAGGGGAGGAAGGGAATTCAGGAGATGGTCACTGCAAAACCAGTCATGACGGTGTGATGGTACTGGGATTTTCCCCTTGAAGCCGGGCTAACAATGACAACAGGGAATCTATCGTCTCAGGAAATGGGATATGCTATCTTGGGTGAAAGCTGAGTGCTTCCCAGTGGCTTACCTAGATCTTAAGGTCTCCCCATTTTAGCAGAACATAAAACAAATTTTCTGGCAGTAGAATCTGATTCCAACTTATTACTGTTGTACTCACATCTTTTGATAAGTGCTAGAATGAGAAATATTGTCAACAGAAGGTATTGAATCAGCTCCTTGTGTATATTAGTTAAGCATTAGCTGACATAACCAATAAACTTCCAATATATAATGGCTCACCGGGACCAGAGATTTACTTCTTGTACATAGAAAAGTAAATAAATATACCATCCATTCATGGGTGTCCTCCAAATAGTGTCTTAAGAATCCAGACCCTTCCATCCTGTGGCTCTTCTGGCATCCTTCCTGACTATCATGTTCACCTAGATGACCAGACTTAGAGATTTGCATGATAAGGCTGTGCTCACTTGGAAGGGGTATATGTGGTCTGCGGTCATGGCCAGCCCTTGGTGACTTGGCCACAGTGAGCTACAATGAGGCCTGAGAAATGTTGTCTATTAGCAGATCAGGAGGAAGAGGGAACAGAGGCACTCTTTGTGTCCCTTCTTGGAGACAGTGTATTTCTTCAATGGCTGTGTTATAGGGTACTAACTTCAACTCTGAGTGAAACTAGCCAGTGCCAGGAAGGTCTGTGAATGCCCTTAGAGGCCAAAAGGGAAGAAGGATTTTTAAAAAAGCAGTCAGACTCTCTGTAGGGTAAAGGGTCAGGAGTGACAGGCGAGAAACCCAGAGAGGTGAGCTGGGGCGGACTGAGGTGGTGGGTGTTTTCTTGGAACTTCTTTGTAGTTCCCAGTTTCCCATCTAAGAATGATGAATTCTAGCTTCACTAGACATCTTGTAATTTTCCTCCATGTCCAGATGAATTTTAGCATTTTGTAGATCTTGTATAGAGGAAAGGCAAAAGGCATTTAAAGACAAAAGAAGTCATTTTAAGGGGCTGGAGATACGGTTCAGCAAGAAGGAGTACTTTTCAGATTTTCCAGAGGGTCTGAGCACAGTTGCCAGGCCCCATGTGAGGCAGCTCATGACCATCTGTCACTCCAGCACCACAGGATCTGTTGCCTTCTTGTGGTATCCACAAGCACCTGCACTCATGTTACACACATACATATACAGAGGTGAGAGAGGGAGAAGGAGGGAGGGAAAGGAAAGGGGAGAGAGGGGCAGGGAAAGAGAAGTCTTTTCTGGGCTCTGCTTTATAAGTGAAGACACACACTTTAATCTTGATTCGAATATCAAGCAGAGTAAATATCACCTTAGTCCCTAGCTTTGAGTCCAGAAGCTTCCTAGTGGAAGCACAGCATCTTTCCCCATAAGCACCATGGAACCAGCCTTGACTCTGGCATCCCTCAAGGTAATTCAGAACTAAACTAACCCAGGATTGGAAGATATTTTAGGTATAACTAGGCCCTGCTCACATACACCGTCTAAAGCTTGAATTCTACCTTCAGCATCATTCAAAGTGACCATCAGTCTCAAACCAGAATTCCTCTAAGAATGGTGAAGTCATTCCTCCTCGGCCATTGCATCTTGGTTAGTGGTGCTAGATCATTTGTTCTCCCCTTCCAGTGGAATTACCCTTGAGGGATACTCCTGAAGGATACTGTCCTTTTAGCGCTTGTTTAGAACTGTGACATTCCTGCTTATCTTTCTTTGATGTATACAACTTTTCAGTATCCAGGGTGCCCATGGAATTTGCTGTTGAGGTCATGGTTGTTGAGAGTAGAGGTGAGGTGAAGGGAACTGACAGCAAGGCTGCCATATCAGGCACTGAATAGGCTAACAGGGTGAATTGCCACCCCAGTCATCTCTGTGAGCATCTGGCAGTCCCATGGTTCTATGTGTAGGGCATGTGGCCTCTGGCTGGACTCCTCCTGCTTCTGATGACCAGGATTTGTGCTGTGGCACCTGGGAGAATCAGGGGTATCCGGAGGCCAGCAAATGTAAGCCATTAGGTTTTAAAATTTCTATTTATTCTCTTTATGTCCTGATTATAGCTTCCCTACTCTTCCCAGTACCCCCTATGACCCTCCTCCCCCATTCTCTCCTCTCCTTCTCCTCAGAGAATGGGGAGGTCCTCCATATGTACCAACCCACCCTGGCACATTAAATTGCTGCAGGACTAAGTACATCCAGATAGGCCAGCCCAGTTAGGGGAATAGGATCCAAAGACAGGCCTCAGAGTCAGAGAAAGTCTCCACTCCATTTTTGGGGGGACCACATGAAGACACAGTAGTGCATCATCTATGTGCAGAGGACCTAGGACCAGTCCCTGTATGTTTGATGGTTCAGGCTCCGTGAGCCCCCATAGGCCCAGGTTATTTGACTTTGTAGGTTCTTCTTGAGTCCTTGACCCCTTCACTTTTCTCAGTTGTTCGCCCATCTCTTCCATATGACTGCCCAGGCTCTGTCTAATGTTTGGCTGTGGGTCTCTGCATCTGTTTCCATCAGCTGCTGGGTGAAGCCTTTCAGAGGAGTTGTGCTAGGCTCTTGTCTATAAGCGTAGCAGAGTAATGTTAATAGTGTCAGGGTTTGGTTCTCTCTCATGGGATGGCTCTCACATAGGACCAGTCTTTGATTGGCCATTCCCTCAATCTTTGTGCTGTCTTTGTCCCTGCACAACTTGTAGGCAGGACAAACTTAGGTTGAAGGTTTTGTGAGTGGGTTGGTGTCTTTGTCCCTCTACTGGAAGTCCTGCATGGCTACAGGAGGTGGCCACTTCAGGCCCTATATCCCCCATTGCTGGGAGTCTCAGCTAGGGTGGCCCCCAGATACTTCCTAGGGCTTGCCAGAGGTTATTCTAGGTCTCTGGCAAGTTCCAGAGATGGCCCTAGCTCTGATTTTCATTCTTTCACCAGGCCCTCTCTCCTCTGCTCTTCCTACTCCTAATCCCCTCCCCTGTTTTCCTTCCCGTCCCTTCCCTACCCAGTTCCCTCCATCTATTCACCACCAATGCCTGTTTTGTTTTTCCTTCTTAGTGTAGTTCAAGCATCCTCCCTTGGATCCTCCTTTTTACTTAGCTTCTCTGGGTCTGTGGATTGTAGTATGGTTATCCTGTGCTTTATGGCTAATCTCCACTTAGAAGTAAGTACATATCATACATGTATTTTTGGGTCTGGGTTCCTTCACTCATGATGATCTTTCCTAGCTCCATCCATTTGCCTGCAAATTGCATGATGCCTTTGCTTTTAATAGCTGAGTAGTATTCTATTGTGTAAATGTAGCACATTTTCTTTAACCATTCTTTGGTTTAGGGACATCTAGGTTGCTTCCAGATTCTGGCTGCTACAAATAAAGCTGCTATGAACATAGTTGAGCAAGTGTCTTAACAAGGGTCTTCTCTTTTTCCAGAGACTTTGTGAAGGCCTTTATCCAGTTTAAGAAGCCCATCGTGGTAGCCATTAATGGGCCAGCTTTGGGCCTGGGAGCCTCCATTCTACCCCTCTGTGACATCGTATGGGCCAGTGAGAAGGCCTGGTTTCAGACACCATACGCTACTATCCGCCTCACACCTGCTGGCTGTTCCTCCTACACCTTCCCCCAGATCCTGGGTGTGGCGCTGGTAAGCCTCCTGTTTCCTATGTAATTTCTCAATCTAAGATGCATGTGCCTGGTCTCTTTAGGACCCTTTTAATGGGGTCAAAACATGGCAGTGTCCTATGAGTGAAACCCAGGTATTGATTAGACCTGATGAATCTACACTGGCATCCTCTGCTGTCCCAGGATTGTTGTGACTAAAGCCAGGCTAATCTCAAGCTAGACCAATGGGTCTTCAAGCTCTTGATGTCTGAGGAGAGGAACTGAGCTAAGATGGTAATGATGATGGCTACTTATTATTTACCTACTGTGTTCTAGGCACCATGTACACAGTGTCCCCTTCATTCCTCACTACTCTCTGGTAAAGCTGTGTCTTTGGGAGAACTGAGTGCTGTGACCAACAGCCACAATTCTCAGACCTCCACCATGGTCATGGCAGGACAAGTCTAGGCAGGACAGACACACTGTGGTGACAACAGGACATAGAAAGCAGCCACTGTGTGTTGGGATCACACCCTCCTCCATGAGGAAGAGGGTGCTTTACTAGTCAAACACATGTGGCGGACCAACACGGCCATAGGTAAGGATGTTATCAGCTGTGCAATAGGCTGAGGGAGTTGCTGAGTTGGCCTCAAGGGCTTGCCCCATAAGCTTAAGACCTGAGTCCAGTTCCCAGAACCCACATAAAAATATTTTGGTGTAGGGGCAGATGTGCTGGTAATCTCAGCACAAGGGAGACAGAAGACACAGGTAGATCCCTGGGGTTTGCTGGTCAGGCCAGCCTCGTCTACTTGGTAAGTTCTAAGCCAGTGTGAGACACCCATCTCAGAAAAGAAGGTGGCTGGCACCGACAGAATGACACCTGGGGTTATGTCTCTAACCTCCAGACATGCATTTGTACACGTGCACACACATAAAATGAAATAAACAAATCCATGTGGTGCCGTGGTTGTCCTAGGGCAATGGCTCTCCAGCTTATTTTGTTTGCTTGGTTGTTTTTTTTTTTGTTGTTGTTGTTTTTTTTGAGACAGGGTATCCTTGGCTGTCCTAGACTTGCTTTGTAGACCAGGCTGGCCTTGAACTCACAGAGATCTGCCTTCCTCCGCCTCCCTGAGTGCTGGGATCACAGGCCTGCGCTACATCACCCGGCTTCTCAACCTTATTTTATTTTGCGTCCCTTTACTACGGTTCTGTGGAGATCCCCAATCTCAAAACTATTGTCTGTTGGTACTTCATAACGGTAATGTTGCTAGGTATTATGAATCACACTGTAAATATCTAACATGCAATCCCTATGCAAGGGTCATTTGACCCCCAAAGGGGTTGCAACCTGCTGGTTGAGAACCGCTATTCTAGGCTTTGGATCCTCATGATTCACTGCAAAGGTGGTAGGAAGGAGGTAGCATAGGTGGCCACGCTGACTAGAACCAGGGGCTGTGCCCATCAGGGAGGGTGCTGAGATGTCAGTGTAATGGAGGCCTGCTAGTGACTGCAGGAGGCCCCCTGCTGTAGGTGCTGTAGGTCATGGGAGAGCCCACACTGATAGGGCAGCATGGCCTGAGTGACAGGGACAGCCCTAAAGCGCTACAGCTGAGAGTACACAGCCAGTGCCCGTCTGCCCTGTCACATGGGTCTCTTGCTAACTGTTTCAGTTTTGGAACAGACGCCAGGCTACTTCTGGAAGATACTTAATAAATACCCACCTTTAAGGAAGCCCGATTGTCCCCAGGCAGCCTGCACACTAATGAACTCTGATGGCCTCCCTCCATCTGGGTGCTCTGCAATCCGTGGGCAAAAGCCTGCACAGAGAGCTTTACAATTTCTCCATTTCTACCATTTTTCTCTTTTCGTGTCTCATCTCTTCATCATCAAATGGTATTCCTTCATCATCAACTGACCATCTCCTGTCAGTTCCGTAGTGGTGGAGGTGGGGAGGTGTCCCAGCCTGCCTTGGTTATCACAATGAGAAGTTCAGTAGCAGCATCCCTTCTGCTTCATTGCTGTCCTTCCTTGCTCCTTTCAAAATTGATCCTACCAGCAGTAACAAAAATGGTGTTCCTTCATCACCCTGCACCGCATAGCAGGTGCCATTCAGCACCATCTCCATTAATCCGGCCTCACCTGGGAGCCTAGAGCCACAGGCTGTCAAATGCCTCTGGGGTGGAGGAGATGGCCATGAGGTTAAGGGACTTCCCAGAGTCTGAATCAGGGCTAGACTTTATGCTGATATTTTCTTAGCTCTAGCACATGTCATTTTTTTCTTAGTGGTGAATCCTTGGCCTCACCAGCTGCCTGAGAAGTCCCTTTCTTTGGCTTATGGATGACACCCATGTTTCTCTCCAAAGAGAACAGTGGAAGAACACTGTTGTAAATGCCTCGGAGACTCCCATGTATTCAGAGAGCCCACATGCCTCACATCTACTCCAGTGTAGATGCAGGCAAGTGTGTACCACATTCACAGCGAGACGCCACTTTCTGCAGCTTCCTCTGAGGGCGTGGAAGATGGCCATTCTCTTCCCAGTGAGGTCCTATTTCTACTGTCCTGATTTAGGCACCACTTCCTGTATGGAGCAGACCAACAGCTGGGACCTAGATGCCATGCGGACTCCAGCACTGTAGGATGTCTCAGCCTCACTGGTCATGGCACAGGGCTGGGAGATGAACACTTTACCTTTGACACGAGCTGTGTGCTCCCACTCATATCAGCTCCTCCCCATTTTTTTGTGGCTATAGAAATGCTTAAACTGTCTGGTATCGTTTCTGCCTTCCCTTCTTCAGTCTGTGACTCTAAAACTGTGCGGACGGACATGTATTCTCAGCTGAGTTCTGTGCTATTTTCTTTGTGCTGTCCCAGCGAGGGAGAGGGAGAGAAAGACACATGAGGGTACCACAGTCTCCTCTAAGTGTACACCTTGCCTTCAGTGATCTAAATCATCTGTCAAACCCCCTATTTCCTAAAGATTCACCTCTTCCACCAAAGAATCAAGCAAGGGACTGATCCTTAAGCACTTGGAGGTTTGGGTTCCTAATGATGCAGCTGTTTTTAATTGGCTTATTTTTTTTAACTTAATGGTTCTCCCGGTAAGTTTTTACTCTCCCTTTTTCTATCTTCTGCACCTCCCTTCTTTCCTCATAAATTAATTTCTCTTCTGAGAGGAAGAACTTGTGTCACGTCTTAGTTGGAATGTGCTAAGTTGTAGATAGATCATTTCCTTCTTCCTGGACTAACCTTCGAGGGGCCAGGCTACCAGCACTGAAATGAACCTCAGAGGCTGTGCATACCCACCGAAGGGTCAGCCTCTGGAGGGGAGTACTGTTGGATTCATGGAGCTTCAGTAAACCCATTGGTTTCTTTTGACAATTTAATGAAGCCTGTGACAGATGTTCGTATGTGGTCTGCACAGCGTATCTGACCCAAGGTCATGAATCCTGCCTCAGAGAGCAGAGACACTCATGCTCAGAGTGTCCAGGGATCCCCAGAGGATATGGATGGAACTCTGTGCCCTCAGCCCTCTCCCACCTTTTGCTCTTTCAGGCCAATGAAATGCTGTTCTGTGGGCGGAAACTCACTGCCCAAGAGGCATGCAGCCGGGGACTCGTGTCCCAGGTCTTCTGGCCCACAACATTCAGCCAGGAGGTCATGCTGCGGGTGAAGGAGATGGCGTCTTGCAGTGCTGTGGTGAGTCTCTATGTTGTCGTGTGTGTGTTTTGTGTGTGTGTGTGTGTGTGTGTGTGTGTGTGTGTGTGTGTGTGTGTACATGCTAGTGGAGTCCTGAGGCCAACTGGGAACTTCTTCCTTTGTTATCCCCACCTTATTTTGTCAAGACAAGATCTCTCACAAAACCTGAAGCTTGCCAATTTGGCTAGATTGGCTGGCCAGTGAGCCACTGGGAATCCTTTTGTCTCCACAACCCCAGTGCTAGAACTGAAACTGTGCATCACTACACCCAGCATTTTACATGGATTCGGGGGGGGGGGGGTCGAACGCAGATCCTCATGCCTGTGTGACACTTGAGCTATCCCAGCAGTCCCAAAGGGGACCTGCAGAGCTTTACTGAGTCTTGGTATAGAAAGCCTAAGTTAGAGGAAGAGGCCCAGGATTTTGCATATTTTCATCCATGACCAATTGGAAGAGGCTCATGGGAGAGACTTATACTCCGCAGAAGCAAACATCTTGTTAAGAGAAAGCCCCCAGCATCCACAGTATCACCAAAGCTACAGCCTTTAGAGAATGGGAAAGCCCAGGGCAGTACAGGTCAAGGGATGGGACCAGCCCAGGGTGAGAGAATGGAGCACACTGTCACTGTGTCTTATTTCTTCTATCCTGCCTAGTCCTAGACACAGCTAAATGTCCCATTTGGACTCCAGAGATGCAGTAAAGAAGATATGAGCCACACTTTTACCAACGTGCCCAGTTTTAATTCAATGTTGATTTTTTAAATCTCATGACAGAGATCTGAGCACAAGAAGGGGACTCTCCCATGGGAGAGGGAAGAAAGGCTAAAACATGGAGTCTCAGGACCAGTTCCAGAGTGAGACACAAACAGTGGAGGATAAGGTCCTAAGCTCTCATCCTCAGGAGTGCTGGGCTGGGTGTGTGGGCCACACCCTTGACATCATCTGCCTTCTCACCCAGCATGCATCCCTCCTAGATGTCCAGATTCTATTGACATAGGCATTTGCCCAGCCTCATCCCATCAGCCATTTACTGCACACCTACTGTGTGCTGTTCATGATGGTAATGATGGTCTCCCTATTGGTGGACACCTGTGCACTTAATAGGGACCATGTGCCTTTCCAATTTTTTTGTGGATTTTCTTTTAACTGGTGACTGGGGTTAATTACTCTGCCTCCTTTCCCTGAGACCTGCTTCAGCTCTGAAAATCCTTCCAGGAAACCATGCGCTCCCAAGTAAACAGGCATGCTTAACTACCTAAGGATCTGCTTCACAGAGGGAGAAAGGTGGAGGTGCAGGGGACAGCTCAGGCAGAGACAACAGCAAGGCCAGGGGAGGCAGGAGGCAGGAAGTCTGGAAGGCCATATCCGTCTAAATAGTGACTATGGCCAGTTTTCCCAGGGAAAGTCAGAAGAAGCCTGAGCGGGAGTGTGGGCTGCACTCTGGGCAAAGGGAAGGCACCTAGGTGAAGCAGCTGTTGAAAGGACAATTAAGGGGACCAGTTCATAGGAGAGGCCCACAAAGAAGAAACCTCTGCACCAGCACTATGGAGCCAGGAACTTCAGGTGACACTCCATCAGAGGAAAGGCTGCAGCCTCTGGAGGTGGTGCCCTTAGGAGAGACAGACTCCAGGATGTGAGGTGCTCAGGACCTTCACTCTCTTCTTACCACCTGGCAGCCTCCATCCTTGCTGGAGTGTAAGGTCCATCTAGACAGCTGGTGCCTGCGCGTCTGGCCCTTGCTCTTGTCTGTTTCAAAGTGCTCAGGACAATGAGAGTCTGGGGCTTGACCCCTGTGGAGGCAATGTGTGGTCTGGGGATCAGCCAGATTGAAGTTCCTTGTTGTACCACTGTTGAACGATCCCAGGCCATGTTACCTTCTCAAGGGGGGTAAAGATGCGAACTACCTGCAATTAAGAGAAGTGAAAAGAGGTCAGGAAAAATACTTCCATGGAGCCTATTCATGGCGCAGTTACGAATACAGTTATTATTGTTCAGTACTACAATTGCTAGCATACATTACTCTAGTTTCAGTGTTTGATGACATCATCACTTCTCGTTGCCATCTTTCTACATCATTGCTGGTTGGTACTATGTTGGTATTGTGTTGATTACTAAGTTTATTATTGCTCATTACCATAACTATTATTGTGCTTGCTGAAAATCGTTAGTATGATGCAATATTATTTGTTTCTACAATCTATGCAATTATTACTCGCTGCCGTGAGTATTATATATAGTTGCAGCCATTTTCAGGGTGATGACTGCTGCAGTTCTTGTTACCCTGTACTACCGTCCTCACTACGGTTGTTACTGCTGTTGAAAGGGGCGTGGCTGTAGGGAGCATCCTGTAGATACTCTAACAACCATTAATCCTGTAGATACTCCAACAACCATTATTTATTCACTCAGCTCGTCACCTCATTCTTTGTTCCTTGTGACTCTTGGGTTGGGCATTCATTTTCAGTGACTCTATTCACGGCATGGGGTGGGGTCAAAAGAATGTTTTGCAAACTTTGTCATGAAACCCATAGACAAATAGCACCAAGAGACTGTGGCGGACACAACTCCTTGGGTAAAGGGCATGCTTGTGCAAGCATGGAGACCTGGGATTGATATTTCTGAAACCACGTGTATGTATGTGATATATAGAAGTGCACCAGTGCTGGGAAGGCAAAGGCAGGTAGATCCATGATCTCACCAGCTAGCCAGTCTCCCCAGGCTGCAAGCACTAGATTCAGCGAGAGACCCTGTATCATAAAAATAAATGAAGAGCAGTTGAGGAAGATGTTAATCGTAGGCCTTCACACTCACACTCATATACACAGACACACAGACACACACACACACACACACACACACACAGGACTGGTTATATGCCACCTTTGGATAAAAGGCAAGGCTCCTGAGAACCATACCTCTCTCCCCAAGTCATCCCATGATTATCGGGCTCAACACCTTGACCACCTGGAGGCCACTTAGGACAGTGCCAATAAACAGACCCTGATGACCCAGGCTCAAAATTAATCCTCCACCCCTTGGCTGGGGACACTGCAGGGCCACAGAGACGGTCCTCTTCCACTGAGTGGCTAATCGGACATGTGTCTCTTCCTAGGTTTTGGAGGAGTCCAAATGTCTGGTGCGCAGCTTCCTGAAGTCCGTGCTGGAAGATGTGAATGAGAAGGAATGCCTCATGCTGAAGCAGCTCTGGAGCTCATCTAAAGGCCTGGATTCCCTGTTCAGCTACCTACAGGACAAGATCTATGAAGTCTGAAGGGCCCCGGCTCGCTTGCCTCACTGCTCGAGGGTACCTGACTTTCAGCTAGGCCCTGTATTTCTACCATCGGAGCCCAGGGTCCATTCTAGCCAGGAGTTTGTCAGGGTGTGTCTTTACGCCTAGGGTTGTGTCCATTCCTTGTGTCCTTGGTTGTTCCTCATTGGTTTGATTTTGTGTGACGGTGGGAAGTGCAGCACCCTTGGCCTCCCTGTGTCCCTATCCCAGCCAGCCACAGAGCCTTCCAGGAAAGCATCTTCCTAAGGCTCTGCCAAGTACTGCTGGCCCTTCCCCACTAGCTGAAATGCTCCACCACCATGGTCCAGAAGGGGAAGACCAACCTCCCCCATCCTCCCAACTCAGGCTGTGTCTACACAGTGCCTCCAACTTGGAGATGAGGCCATCATGGTTCTCTGGTTAAGTGACCTGGGACCAGGGAACAATCATCTTAGGGAATCCACAGACCAATGAGCACGTGACTACGTAGGCCTATAGGCCCGGCTTTAGTCTCCAGTACAACTCGGTGTGACTCTTAGGGCTTGGTCTTAAAACCCAGCTGACTGATTTACAAACCCAGATGTTGTACATTTAGAAATGTTTTGTTAAATATATATTTTTAAAACAACGTAAGTGGAAATTCTGATAACTTATGTGTATTATATGTAAAGCTAGTTTTGCAAAAACATGAATTACTAGGAAATTTTTCTTTATTTGGATTTATTTTATTTATTTATTTTTGTTTATATATTATGAAGTCTATTGTTCACACAGATCTTATTTTCATACTACCCTGGACCAAATACTATTCAAGGTTCATGCCATTTGGTGCACTCTTGCAATGAGCCCTGTGGAAAGGTCCGACACGAGAATGGAAAGACTTTTTTGTGGATTTTAAAGGAACAAGCCTGTGTCAGACCCTCTGTATGCTCCTCTTATGACATAATGCCAGTTCTCTGATCTTGTTTTTAGGACAAGTCATGGTGGCACTTTCTCTTTCACTCACTGTCCCTAAGAAGAATTGAGGACTCTTGTCAGCCCAGGTGGTCTCAAAGGAGGACCCACTTTCTAAATGTGTGATGTTAAGAAAGGGTAGGGGTCATCCCTACTTCAGGATGATATATTGTCTAGAGTAAGAATTTTTGTTTGCTCTGGGATAGATGAGTGGACTTGGAACTTTCTTTCCGCATGGATACTAATGTCTTGGTGGGTCTTCTGGGGTATGGAGGAAGAAAACCCAGTCTCAGGAGTTTCTGTAGGGTCCAAACAGTTTTGCTTTCAGAAGCCTGAATTGTGAATCTTTTTTTTTTTTTTTTATAACTGGGAAAACACAAGGGAGCAATATCCAGCATTGAGTTCTTTTTGGCTCAATGGCACTGGGCTACCAGAGGCCTACAGTAGCTGTGTGCCATCCAAATAAAGTCCTTGGATCTGCACTGGGGAGAGTTTGGGTTTGAGTTGATGAAGAGACAGGAAATAGAAGGAACTAATTGTGATTGGAGCCTCAAACCTATTTGAGATCATGTGCCCAGAAAAAATTAGACTGGCAGGGTGCATGGCTCTTTCTAGATATGTTTCAACCTTGACCACTATGTTTTCTCTTCATTTCCCTCTGAGTTTCCAGCCTTTCTCAGCCTTTCCTTGCAGACAGTGGGGTTCAGCACAGAGTTGGCATAGCTTGTAGAGGGAAGGTGGGGTGCCAAAGGGTAGAATTGGTTCTTTGCCTGCTCTTGAATGGGAATAGCTACCCCAGTCACAAGTGGAAGGAATGCATGGCCATGCACTTTGAATGACACAGGAAGCTGGATGTTTGCATGAGAACTGGTGAACTGACTCTCCAAACAGTGGCTCCCATGTGTAGTTGGCCTTGTAGGCCTTAGGATGACCATGCTTTGCTCTATAGAAAGGCCTTAGAGTTCAGAAGGGTTCGGGAGGAGGGGAATCTCATGTTTGCATTCTCCACCAGCCTGTGCCATCTTGGCATTGAGGATCCTGAAGGTACAGTCAACATTGCCTTTGTTCAATCGCAGGAAAATGGAATTGAAACCTGTAGATCTCTGGTGTCCCTATACAACACTGTAGGAGCTGTGGACTGGGGTGTAGAGAGTTAATATAGGAAAATACCTGATTCTGACCACGTGCCTGTTGTTGTCTCTTCTCCATTGAATGAGTTCCATATTAAATTCAACTCTAATTTGAAAATATACTGAATTATCCTCCCCACCCCACCCCCAAATCTTAAGACAGCCTTTGTTCTTATACATGTCTCAAAGACTCATTACTATTGCTGCCTCCTCTGTAGAAAACCTCCTCCATCCCAAACCCATGCTTTCTGACTGGCTTCTGATCAAGCCTGTTTTGTCCATAGGGAAGCAAGCAGTCAGGATTTTTTTTTTCTGGAAATGGAAGGGGTTGTTTAGAAATTCCTGTTATCAGCGTTCATCTTTGATTCCTGTTGTCACAACCTGATATGCTTTATAGCTTTGGGCATTTGATGAGCACCAAACCTCTAAACGTATCAAGGACTTGAGGTAGACACTGACTATTTCCAAGGTGGAATTCACATTAACATTAACATTAACATTAGTTTTGAAAGACTGTGTTTTGTCTGTTTGAATAAAGTCCTTTGAGAAAGGTAGTTCTGCTACCTGGGCACAAGTCATTTAGCAGTCAGTCTGCTGGACTGGCTGAACTCCTGGAGATGCATTTTCAGGGTAGCTGTGTGGGTAGTGTGTAGTTGAAATCCAATGACCTATAGCATATCGAGCTGGGATGGCAAATACCAGTACAGTGGTTGTGTCCAGATTGCCCTAAAAGCTTTATTGAGGTAGGGTGCTGGCTTCCATCTTCTATTTTGTGCCCCAGTGTCCTCTCTCCTCTCCTAAGGTCCTTCTGCTTGTCCATACAGCAACTGCCATACAGCACTGCTGGGATTAACTGCTTCCATCCCAGGGACTTTTGAAGAATCATGGTTAAGATGACCAGACCCACCTCAGCACCGGGAAGCCACCCCCTAATGTTGATGTTCGTCTATTCAGGTGATCCTTTAGTGCGTAGAAATAAAGTCAGAGGGGAAGAGGCACGTTTGCTGAGAATGAAGTAACCGTGAGAAGAAGTACAGAAACGACTTTAAAATCTTATTCTCTGGCATAGATCAAACTGGGAAATGTCCTCTCAGAAGCATGAAAAGATTTCCCTGTGTGAAGTTAAATCTGAGGATGGAAAAATAATCACAGTAGACTTTGGACAATGCAATTATATCTCTGATTTTCTCTTTTACAAATAGCCTTGGCTGAATGCTTAATTGTATCTTTCACTACTAACTGCTGCTTTCAAAACCTTTTAAAAAGTTTGTAATTTTTTTTTAAATTTGGAATTTAGTCCCATCCACACACTTTTTCAATCTGGTTTCTGTAGAAGATTTTTTTTAAATAGAAAAATAGAAACATCTGCAAATCTTCCTATGGGAACATTTAGAAGGGAGAATTATTTCTTTCCTGTGTTCCTGTATTAAGATACTTAGATCTGTTGTATATATGAGTCAAGATGCCCTCACTAATATGCACAGTATTTAAGACTCCAAATGAGATTTCTTAAGTATTTTATTTTATTCTCTGTAAATGGTTTTGTAAACTCTTGAAAATTTACACTTTGGTTTTGTAGATACATCTTTGGGGGGGGTTGTCTTGCATGTGTGTGTTTTGTTGCTGTAGCTAAGTGTCACATAGTTCTTTCTGCAGGTTTTGGTTGAAATGCTTATAGACTTTAATACAGTAAATATATTTTCAGAATATAAACTTTTATATTTCTGTGGTAAATTAGGACATGCGTTTTAGGCAATCTTTTCCATTAATATCACTTCTTCCTTCAGAAAAAGATCTCATACTTGTTTGGTGCCAATGTTTTGTCTTTGTTTTTTGACTTGTTTTTTAGTCTTACATTATTAAGAAATCAAGTCAATTTTCCTTTTTTTAGAATTCATTGTGTTTGAAATCTAATTTGAAAATGTATTGAATTTGTGAATAAGCCTTACCATTAGGTTCAATAATTCTTCTTACCTTCAAAACTACATGCGTAGTTCAAGATTCCCTCCCCTACCCCCCCCCCATAAATTCTCACTGTGTGGCAGTTGATGGAGTTGTGAACAGAGCCTTAAGCTTGTTGCAAAAAAAAAATTAAAAGGGTAATACGGGTTGTTGTTTCCTCCATGTAAGCCATGTTGGCGGGCTCAATGCAGTCTGCAAGTAGTTCATGGCTAATCTGAAGAGAGAGGTGGCATGGATGGCGGCAGGGACTAGGTGGAGTTCTTGGTGAATGTCTTTGGCCATAAGACTGGACCAAGGACAGGTTTTCTGAGCCACTTTCATTCTAGTCATATGGTTTAGGGACGGTGACAGGGAGGGCTGCTGATTCATAATTTGTTCTCAACAAATGGCATCTCTTGCTCCTGACCTTGGCTGTGGGTTCCTTGTGGGTGACCTGAAAATGTCCAGGGTAGCTAAAGTCTGCACTCTCTGAGAACTGTTAACAAAGTTTACATAAGAGTCTTACTGTGTAGACAATCTGGAGTCAGTTTTTGTTCCATCGTCGACATCACCGCGTGTTCTTGGTGTTTCTGTGAGGAACTGTGTGTCAAGCTATGTGAGACTGGAGTTCAGCAGGGTGGAGGGACTGTAGTTGCAGGGCTTGAGCAGCAAGCAAGCTGGTCTATCCAGGGCTGTTTCAGTGGCACAAAAACCATAGATTTTTATCTACCAGTGGGTCTGGTATATGTTGGAATCTAATAGAGTTAATTCTCAAAAATCAAATTACAGTTTCTTTTGGTAGGTGGTGCTCCAGGCATCATCAGCTGATTCTCCTTAGAAACCCTTGAAACAGGATCTTGAGTTGAGGGCTGTGTGGTTAAGCATGTGGTCCATCTCTAGCAAGTATTCAAAGTCACCTTATCAGCCATTAGGATTAAGATTGGCATGTGTGCATGTGTCAATCAGAAGACCTGATGGGGAGGGTTCAGCTTCAACCTTACATCTCTGGGTTTGCCTCTCACCTCTTTGTCTCATCATCTAGTCTGATGCTGGAGCTTGTTGGCTCTGGGAAGTTCAGAGGGTGTAGAGTTTTCCATCTAGTATTTAATTTGCCATTGTGCCATTAGTCCCAGCTTGAAGTTATTTTCTAATGTCTACATCAACAAGATTGTAAAAATAATTGCCTTTCATAAAACCAAGGACCAAAGATTCCATTATTCCAACCAAGCATGAGTTTCATAAGCTGTAAGCACATCTGGGTCCAGATGTGTGAGCTTCATGGCACAGAGGAACCCTTGGTTCCCCTAAACTTGTGCTCCCCCTGACTGGCCACACACAGAAGAAGTGGAATAGCTCATTGAAAAAGGCTCTGGAGGAGTTTCTGAGATGGGAATGTTAGTACCTCAGGTGGATGTTTCTGTGGTGTAGTCTTGAGTTTTTTATTTATCCTGTTATAAAGTAGAGGTCAGGGATTCCTCCAGGTATCTGGCCGCTGTAGACTCTTCATTTGCACATGGGCCTCCAGCTGAAGTTTTGTAGCTAGGTCTCCCATGGTACATCCTGTGACTAACTGCCAGATGT